ACACAAGAGGACATTAAAAGAGTTAGAAGGAGGGACACTGAAGGGATTGGAGGAAGGAGGGGAAAGGGGAAGTGATATGACATAATTATATTTTAATATAGCAGGTATTTTAATGGAGAGATGCCTCTGTGGAGGACCTGAGTTGGATTCCCAGCACCCACATGGCAGCTCATAACTGTCTGTAACTTCAGTTTCAGAATATCTGATGCTTTCTTCTGGACTCATGGGTACAAGGCAGGCTCATGGTACATAGGCATACATTAAGACAAAGTATTCATACATATAAAACAAAATTAAATGAATGTTAACCTTTAAAAATTAAAGGAAAGAAAACAATTCTTGTGTAAGTATCAATCCATTTGTTCTTTCTCCAGGTCAAATATTGGACTCAAAGTTATGAAGTAGTTCCCAAACCCTGTCATCCTGGTTACTTTCTTAGTTACTCTTTTCCAAATCAGTAATTAAGATGAGAGTATTGTAATTAAGCACCCTGCTGTATATGTATTTGATGGGCACAGTATGCAGTTAGGTTGGATACTATGCTCACATTCAAATCCATATGTGTCTGCATTCTTCAGAATATAAACAGTGGATATGAAAGCTCTTTTCTCTTGCTTGCCGATATTTAAACTTAGATACCTAAGTATGCAAGCAAAGTTGTACAAAGACTTGTGGATAAAGAGAAACACATGCAAAATTCCCATTTCATTTTCATTATATGAGAAGAATTATTTGAAGGTTAGACAGGGTTGTTTATGCCTGTAACCCTAACATTTCAGAGGCTGATTCAGGATGACTGCTGTGAGTTCAGTGCAAAACTGGCTTAAAGAGAGTTGCAGGCTAAACTGAGATATAACTTGAGAGCCTATTGCAAATAAACTAAAAGAAGAAGAAATTATTTGGAAAGTTAAATTACTTTAAGATCTCAAAGTAGAAAAGGTCTGAAAGTAAATGCTGACAATTGGCATTTATCACACTCTAAAAATCTACTCTTACAGTGTCAAAAATATACAATGAATGTTAGTTATTTTACCCTAAATTACTTGTGTCATCCTCCTTCCTCCTACTGAACCCCTTCTTCTCCCCAGCAAGTCCCCCCTCCCCACTGGTTTCATGTCTTGCTTAGTCTGTTCATGAATTAGAGTTTCTTTCATGACCATGTTGGGAACTTTCTTACCAGTAGTTAGACCACTCTTTTAATTATTGCTCTATACTCATTTGTTCAACTCCACGAAAGGCTTTAGTATATGCATGTAATAAGTTGCATTCTTGTTTATATGATATCTTTGAAAGTCATGAAGTATTATATATTTTCAGTAGGTCTTAGTTAGACACTACCATCCCAGGCAGTGAGCTTCTAGTTAGCTGATGGTTAGTGGGTCTACATGCTGTGTGTTTTACTGGAATTCTTTCAATGAATCCTCACAATAGTTCTGTAGTTGATACCACCAAGTGTGCTTTACAGATGTGGGAACCAGCACTTTGAGAGCTTAGCTATTGTCTACAGTACATATGAGTCTTGGTAATAGGGCTTTAACTTCAAGATGAGAGAAAAAGGAGGAGAAGGCAATGTGAGAGAATTCCCAGTTAATTAACATTGAAGATTGGAGCCGGGGAAGAGGCTAAATGATAGACAGTTGCAAGGCAAGAAGAAATGTGCTTGAAAGAATGAAATATTCAGAGATGAGATGTAGAAGAAAGAATTAAGATGAGTTTACCAAGTGAGACAGTGGCACTCCATCCTTTGTAGATGATCAATTCACCACCAGTGTGTTTGTGGGCAGCCTTTGAATGCCATGGACTTGAAATGGGGTGCCTTCTCTTCCTTGCATTTTAAAATGCCCCCAGTTATGTGGAGGTTGGGTAAAAGTATATGTTGTGGTGACTGGGCTGAATTAAGGGCAGAGCCCCTGAACAGCCCTGATGCCATGGCTCTGTTATAAAGGTCTGTAAGATGTTATCCCAGTGTCATGGATTATATAAATGTGCACAAATGGCAGTTTCCTCCTTTTGCTTCACACAATGTTAAAAATGAGTAAAATATGTTTCCCATTGCACTTACCCCCTTGCTTGGGGATTTGATGAACTCATTTTAAGTTTCCACGTCTTTATAAAAATGTTTTGTTTTTACTGAAACATGTTTTTGATCAAGAACATAATTTCACGATTGCGTGTGCGTATGGAACAAGTGCATGGAGAGGGGCTCACTGGGACAAATTCCAGGATCTGGGTTCTTCAGGTTCAACCTTAGTCTAGCTGGAACTCAGTAGATGATCCTGAGAGAAATGGCTTTTTCCTTTTCTAATCAGTTTCCTGCTCTTTCTATTGCTAATTTCTCAATTAGAAGAGCTAGTAATATGACTTAAAGTTTCAATCATTTTTCTTGAACTATGTAAGTTTAGATTTTGAATTTGTGGAATGCTGAACTTCAGACAAGCTGAACAACAATACCGTGATTTTACATTTTTAAAGGTGTGGTTCATTTATTCAGACACAGTATCCAAATACCAAGATCTTACTTGCAAAGTAGGTAGAAGGAGCCATAATCCTTATAGTAAAGTAAATTCAGGCTCAGATCAGAGCAGTAATTTGCATTTACATTTAAGGAACACTAGAAGTTTTATAAATATTACACATATTTTATTCATTCTGATGATGCAAGAGATAGACATTGTACTCATTTAACCAAGGTGGCAATAACAGAAAGGCGACTGAGATAAGTGAGATGTCTCAGCTCATCTTGAGGGTACTTATGTGAGCTTCAAGTTTACACAGAGGAAGAACTGGGACAGGATACTAAGGGCAGGTCTCATTAAGCAGTCCCAGGCAAATTGTGGTCTGACTGCTCTTTGTCTCAGGTCTGATTCTTCCAGTGACTCCTTATCACTTGAAGGGACAACATAGTCCCCAAGATGATGTTTCCTATTGGGGTATAGTGGCAGCTTCAAATTCTATGGTGACGTAATCATTCCCTTTTAGTGATTACCCCGTCATAAAGTCGACTTTGCCTATAAAGTTTCCCCGTGCCTGGAATTCAAAGCGGCTGAAGACCTGGGATACTGACTGGAGACCTGAAAGCCCTCCTCGGAGGAGGGGTACAGAATGAAGCACTGTAAAAGCTGACTGAAATACCTTATTTGCTCTTGTCTCTGTGCCTTCATCCTAGAAGGGAGACATGACTAGGTACTTTGGGGGCTTAGTCATCCTGCACCACCAGATTTCAGGCAGACATTCCTTTAGCCAGTTACAAGTCTGGTCCAGCTGGGCAGGAATCTGATCCAGAGTGATACGAAATGAATGCAAAGATGCCAGGCTTTCACACTGCTTTTGGTGGCCTTGTGACCCAATGGGGAGGCCATGTTCTTTGTTTTAAAGCAGTTTGGGAGTGCATGTTGTAAGAGTCTTTCTATTTTATGAATGAGAGCATTAGCTCTCCCAGAGTTACAAAGTTAATAAGTGACTGAGTCTGTAATTAAATCCAGGTCAAATTCTCAACTCTCTGCTTGCACCAGAAGGATGGATAAACATTTCACAGGAGCAGCTGTGGTGTGGTGCAGAGTTTGTAGACACGGGGTCTTGGAATTCTCCAGAACTCACACATCACCTGCACTAAGTGTGTTATACACACACTAAATGCACTAGTGTGCTATAATTCCCACAGGTTAATGGTGCTTCAACAAAGAGAAAACTAGTGAAGCTGTAGCCTTCCTTTAAAATTCACTCTGCACAATTTTTATTGTGTTGTTTTCCTCTTTTAAAAAGTTATTTCTTTTGAGACTATAATATAATGACATAATTTGTCTCTTCTCTTTAACTCCCTCCAAACACTCCCACATACCCCTCCTTGCTCTTTTTTCATGAAAGTGAAATTCACATAACATGAAATGAACCATTTTAAAGTGAATGGATGATACAATGACAGTCATATCGTCAGAATGCAGCACTACTGCAAACTCTGACTTGCTTGGCAATATTTCCATCAACTGGAAGTAAAGACCCAGAACTGTTATGGAGTTTCTTCTCATTGCAAGCTGCCTCTAACCCCCAGGGAACCTCTCTGCTCCTATCTCTGGATTTAACTAGTTTAGATAGCCTAATGCAAATGAGATTAAACAGCAAGTGAGCTTTTATATGTGGTTTCTTTGTCTTGTGTAACTTTCCAAGGTTCATTCATGTTTTAACCCAATAGCAGTATTCTGTCTTGTAGATACACTACAAGCTGTTTATCTGTTCACTGGCAGACGATCAACTGGACTATTAATTACTACCTTTGGTTACTGTGAATACACTTGCTTGCCTGTCTTCAGTTTCTGAGAAATTGCTTTATCATATGTTAATTTCCTGGTTCGATTTTTTTTTTAGTAAATGCCAATTATTTTTCCACAGCAACTGAACCTATACATATCTACCCTAATAAACTGAAGGAGTTCCAGTTTCTTCCTGCAAACTTTCTGGTATTTGAGACTTTTTGTTGCTGTTGTCTTTGATAACCACACTACTATAGTATGTGTCACAACATTGAGGTTTTGATTTTTACTTCCCTAGCAACTGACGATTTTCAGCATCTTTTCAGGTCTTATCAGCCTCTTACATATCTTCTTTGGAGATAGATCTGCTCAAGTCCTTTGCTCATATCGGCATCTCTGCTGCTGAACTAAAGCTGTCACTTATATGTTGTGTTCTGTAGATCATCTTTTCATTTTCTTGGTATTTACCTTTGATGCACAAACATTTAACTCTGGTAAAGTCCATTTTGTTTAGAACTTTTATTTATTGATGTATTTTTCCTTTCACTGAATTCGTGTGGTGGCATATGCATGGAGCTGTTACCAACTCTAAAACCACGAGGATTTATCCCTATATTTTCTTCTTCTAAGGATTTTAAGGCTTTGGCTGTTATATTTAGAGCCCTGATTTATTTTAGTCGACTATTGAATAGTGTATAAAATAATGGTAGTTCCTGTTTACTTCAGTTTCTCTTTTTTGTTTTTCTTTCCTAGGAAGTCTTCAAAGACAGGGGTTGCACACTTTTAATCTGACTTCTTTAACTAAGTCTGAGAACATTTTGTCAGCCACACTGTATTTCTGTATTGGAGAATTAGTGAACATCAGCTTGAACTGTCCAGGTTCCCAAAGATGCTCCCATCACACACAGAGACAACACATCCAGATAGACCTCTCTGCATGGATCCTCCAATCCAATCAAAGTCAGCCCCTGGGTCACCTCTCAGTAGATGTGGTCAAATCTTATCGAGACAGCATGTCCTGGCTGTCAAAAGACATCACTCAGCTTTTAAGGAAGGCCAAGCAAAATGAGGAGTTCCTCATAGGATTTAACATCACTTCTAGAGCACATGAGCTGCCCGAGAGGGTACTGCTTTTCCCGGAGCCTTATATCTTGGTATATGCCAACGACGACGCCATTTCTGAGCCAGAAAGTGTGGTATCTAGTTTACAGAGACACAGAGATATCCCGGAAGGAACTGTGCCCAAACTGGATAGTCACATCAGAGCTGCCCTTTCTGTTGAAAGGAGGAAGAAGCGTTCTACTGGAATCTTGTTGCCTCTGCAGAACAACGAGCTACCTGGGGCAGAGTATCAATACAAGGAGGATGGAGTGTGGGAACAGAGAAAGCCTTACAAGACCCTTCAGACTCAGCCCCCCGAAAAGAGCAAAAACAAAAAGAAACAGAGGAAAGGACCTCATCAGAAAGGCCAGACACTGCAGTTTGATGAACAGACCCTGAAGAAGGCAAGGCGAAAGCAATGGATCGAACCTCGAAATTGTGCCAGGAGGTACCTCAAAGTGGACTTTGCTGATATTGGCTGGAGTGAATGGATTATCTCCCCCAAGTCATTTGATGCTTATTATTGCTCCGGAGCCTGCCAGTTCCCCATGCCAAAGGTAGCCACTCTTCTTTACCTTGTGCTTGCTTTGCTTTAGCATGGGGTAGAATAGCACGCTGAGTGTGTGTTTCCATTTAAGAAACTCTATTCAGAACCTTATTTATAACATTCTAAAGTACAGCATAATGGGCAATGTGGTTATGCTTGGGTTTTCTTTGATGCTTTTTAAAAGTAATATGAGGTATGAAGTTTATGAAAACCACATGTACAAAATATGCAATTTTTTTTTGTTTCTAAACATGGTGCATATCCAGCCATGTGGTCACTTGTGAATATACACCTGTCCACAGTCAGCCAGCCCCAGATGGCAGAAGCTGATCTCTGAGTGGTATTAAAGGGATGAATGAATACTGTGGAAGCAAAAAGAAGGAACAACGGGTCTGGTGCCCTGATGTGGATAAAGTTTCTCATGAGGTGAATTGTCCCCATGCTGGTCAAGATCAGGGTTTGGCTAGGTAGGCTGGCCTGAAGCCCAACACGTTTGTTTCATTTGCTTGACTGCTAAACATGAGAGACAGGGTGTGGGGGGCAGCAAAGCAAAACAGGGTGCAATGACAGCGACTTCTCCCAAGGTCCATCTTACCATGTCAGAAATTACCTTTGTTTATTCCCAGAACATTAGCGACTGGGTTTTATCATATAACCGTGCTTTTAGAAGGTTTTCCAACTCCAGTGTCTGTCTCTCCAAGAAGTCCAAATGGCTGTTCTCTTTGCTTTGCACTGGAGTATAAACAGTCTGCGGTGAACATTAGCCATACCCCCAGCATCAGGTTTAGCTTAAGGTGTCACTTCCAGTGTCAGCTCACACAGCTTAAATCTCTGTCACACACTTGAAGGTGACTAAATGGGCAGAGTTCAGAAGAGGAATCGAAACGGATTTTTAATAAAATCTGAAGCATTTGGGGGAGTTGTTTTTTTTTTGTTTCTGGGATTTGGATTTGTTTTGTTTTGTTTGCTCCTGCCTGAAAATAGAGAAAAGTCTTCCTTTGCCTCTTAGCTACACAATTGCAGCTTATGGGTCTCTATATTGCTGTTCTATGTTCTGTAGTCACTGACTGGCCTACCCATCAGAAGGACTGAAGACACAAGATCAGGTCAGCCTCAGGGCCAGCAAGCTATCTGAAATCTTGCTTTTCTTGTTAGTTATTTTAGAAAGATGAACTTGGTACATTTTCCACGAAATTATCTTTCCAGAGGATTTTTGTAAGGGTTATGAATTCGGGGCTGTATCAAGAGCCCTGTCTTATCTTGTGATTCACAAAGGACTTTCACTGCTCGCTCAAGCAAAATGTGTCCATCTGGGGTGACGTTTAGCACCTGGGTGTAGTAAAGATGGTAAATGGAAAAAGCAGAGAAGTGCCCTATTTTACAGTGTGCCTTGCCTTATGACACTGAGAAATGGGGATGTAATTCAAAGTTGATTTTAAGATCAGAGTTACTGATTTTAGGTAGGTCTTAGGGTTTACCCAAATAACCCCTCTCACTCCCATTATCGATAGTTTTTTCTGGGTAGCTTGGAGAAATTTTTCTTCTGATCTTTCATCACTCCAACATTCAGTCTCCAGAAAACATACAAATGTAGATGCTCAATCCATTTGCTTCTCATTCCTGAACTCTAGAGGACTCAGTTTCTACCTCTTCATAGATTTCCCCCACTTGTGCCTCTCAACTTCCTCCTTCTTCCTGTTGCCATTTATAAATCCGGTTTCTTTAAAAGATGTTAGAAGAAACTGAAAATAATCCTACTTTGAAAGTTGCCATGGGATAAGTTAGTGACCACAGAGATAAATTTCAGGAGAAGCATCTACACAATTAAACCACCATATTGGTCATGGCAGGAATTTTAAAGCCTTGGCTTGCCTTTAAACTGCTTGGAATCCTATGCGTACATGGGATCTGATTCAGTGCACACTCGGTGGAGGCCACAGGGGACGATGAGCATCTAACAAGGCCTCCACTGCCGCTGAAGCCGCTGATTCACAAAACGCTTTTTGTGACAGCCGACTTGACAGTTTCCTTGGGCTTGAATTTTGGTCCCACCCACTAAGCAATAATGGCCTTTTGGATAAATCAATAAGGCATTCTATATGCCACCCTTCTTTTTGAAATAGATAAAGTAGAAAATAATAAAAACAACCGGGCCTGCACAACCAACACAATGACAAAACGAAATAGCAGAGCAACCTACATGGAGCAGTGGGTACTCAGTGACTATTTGCTGTCCACCCGACGAGTGACTTTTGAGGAGACTGAACGGAACAGAAGAGGTGTCTAAGGAAATGCTGTGTAGGGGGAGCAAGCATACAAAGGAACGCCACGAGACAGGAAAGGTTCTGTAAATGTTTTGAGTCCTTTTTCAAGCATCACAAAACTGAAAATGGGATCCTCCCTGTGGGTTCAGCAGCTGTGAGCTCTTAACAGTGAGGTTCTTTTCGGGGGAGAATGGAATGAAGAGAGGATCTGTGGCAGTAACTGGACTCATCATAATATTTGTTGAAACTTGTAATGGCCACAGAGCTCCAGGGACACGTAACAGACATCCATGTGGAGGTCTTTTCTCTAGGCTTACTATACCCTTTCGCCAAGTCCAGTGGAAGTTTAGCATCACCTTGCACGGAACTGCTTAACTTTTAACGTGTGGTAGGGTTTCCCTTTAAGTCCTCATGACTGTGTCTTTCAGTCAGCATAGTAAGAAAGGAGGATTGGAAATCCCTGTAAAGAGAAAGGGTCGTTAACATGCACGGCTGTTAGCACAGTGTCTGGCGTGGCATCCAGAATGAGATATTTAAATAAGAATACAGTCCGACCAGCAGAGGAAAATGAAGGTCTCTCATCAAATCAGAACAGCACATGTGGGCCAACTGAAGTGCCAAAGAACTTTCAGACTTTAGATATAGATTTTGCCTCAGAGGAAAGCTCTCCCAGGCCAGACTCCTCTGTTGGGCCTCCTGGTTTTGGCCTCCTGGGTGAAAGCCTGGCCTATATGGCCGAGCTTCGTCTGCAAAAGTTGACAACCTGCTCTCTAATTCAGAACAGCTGTGCTCTGCCTTTCCTGAATTCCAGGGTTTGCCCTTTCACTGATTCCAATTAGATACTTTCTGGGCCATCACACCCATGTGGGCTGGACTGGGAGAGCATGGAGCAAAACCTCATGGCCCAGGTCAGGAATGAAGGTTCTCAGCTGATGACACACTCGCCCCTTCCAATGTGTCTGTAATCAAATTTAACCAGAGGACCTCGTCCCCAGCTTGGCAGGTGCGAGCCTGACCACTGAAGGTTTCATTCACAGACACAACAGTTTGGGTTCTTTTTCTTTTCTTTTTTTAATTCTGATTCCTGGCTCTTTCAGCCAATCTGTTCTCCCAGAGCGAGACTCTTGGAATGGTGCCATATGATGAAAAATACCCAGATAGTCAGAGCCAAGTTCCTGTGCCTCTGCCTCCCTCACCACCTCAGCTGCGATGGAAAACAGAAATCTCCAATGAAAATGATTGAGCCATGGTTCCTGACAGAGATCCAAGAAACCAACAAAGATTAGAGGAATGAAGTTATTTCTGCAAGGAATTGTGCAAAAGCTAGGAATAGCAGAGAGATAGAGTTAGGCAACAAATAATTGAAATACTTTGAATGGAGTGTTACATATAAAGAGATTCACATTTAATTAATCCAAAATGATAGACTTTTAAAGAACTCTCTAGATCTTCTAGCTCTAATCTCAGTCATGAAGATGAACACTATAAACATGAAACCTCGACAAAACTCGGCCGATTCACACCTGAATCGATGTGGAAGGTGCACACCATCATTAAAGAGAGTGATGGATGGGGATGGAACACAGATTCACACTTGTGATTGGCACCAGCTCTAAGCTCAGAAGAGAGTCATGAGAAACATGACCCTAGTTCGAAAACAAAATGTCTTGCTGGCAGCATGCTTCACAGCAGCAAATGACAGCATGGATTATTTGTGCATGATGTGACCATTTCTGGTAATGGTAGCTCCATCAGAGGATTCCATAGCTAGGAAAAATGGGATACTCCCTAGTCATCTGAGAGGTCTGTGATACAAAACATCACCCCAGAATCAAGGGCTTGGGCCTGGTTCTGGCGAGCCCACTGGAGACTACTCATATACTCAGTTTCTGAATGCATCAGTTCTGACTTGGATTAAAAAAAAAAAGACAGGAATTTTCCCTAGGAAACACCCACAAATATTTTCCATATCTACACTAAGTTACTTCTTGCACAGAATTTTTTTTTGTTGATAGCAGTAATTTCTCATAAATGGGTAAAACAAAGGGTATGCTATTTCTTCTAAGTATTTCAGCTATTTAGCAACATTGCTCTAGTGTCTAGATATACATTCTAGGGGCTGGGGGAATCAGTGCATAGCCATGGTAATTGTTCAAGTGTTCTAATTAAGGCCATCCACACTACGAGACATCTGGGCATTAAATATTAACCATAGAGAATGACATCAGAAAACCTGGTTTTAACTGCCTCTGAAGCTTTAACAACAAGCTGTTCGACAGGCTGAGTGTTCCACACAGCTTTCAGTCAATAATAGAAAAAGTGGATTGTGGCAAAGGTTGCCTGTAAAAATCAGTAACAGTAATGCAGGAGTTGTTTACTGCTGTGTTACAACATTGATGGCAGTTCCAATAAACTTCACAGACTTGTGGAGGTCTTTTGTTTCTATTTGCAAATATTAATTATATAGACTCATGGCAGCCATTGTGCCATTTCCATATACACTTGCATCCTCTTTTGATCACTATAGTTTTCTAATAATTTTCATTCAGTAAACACATTTTAATATAGAGCTAACAACATGTAAATTATCAGCACTGGGACTTTTTAAAACTTATAGTGAGAATACCTTGTTCTGTAATCAATCAGAGCTTATTGACCATTTAATTAACTAATTAAAACTATATTTTTAAAAATATTCTTCAAATCAGTAGGAAGCAAGAGTAAACACAGTACTGTGTTATTGATAGTAGTTTTTTAAAATATTTTTTCACAAAAATTGGAGTGTAGTGTATGAATTACTCTTGTTGAAATGAAAAGATGGAATGATTCAGATAACATCTCCTTTCCTCTGCCAGCACACATCTTTCTTTGACTTGTTTTAATCTTTCTTACAGTACATCCGCTTTCTGCATTACTTCTCCTCTGCCCTGGGTGCGTCTTTGGCCTTCTAACTGTTCATGCTTTTCCATTGTGGTGTTCTTAACAGGTCAGGAAGCCTCTGAGTGGAAAGAAATATGGGGTTTTAGTTGAAATAATATTGTTCATCTTCTGGAAATGATCCTCCTTTTTGTTGTTGTTGTTTGCTTTGCTTTTGGTTTGGTTTTCGCTTGCCGTTGATATGGTGTCTCAGGTGACCCTGGGGTGACCTTCAGCTGCCTGTGTAGTTGAGGCTGTCCTCGAACTGAACTCCTTATCTCTCTGCCTTCAACAGTCAGGGCTGCAAGTATGCAGCACCATGCTCAGTTGTTTGTTTGTTGTCTCTGTCTTATTGAGGGGTAGCTGAGGATCAAGCCATCACATGGTGGGCAGATAGTCTATTGAGCCACAACCTGAGTTCTCAGATTTCTGTTTGTAAATGTGTTTAAAGCAAAATTAATTTCATCCACCTAAGAAAAAACACTAGGAGAGTCGAAAAGTCACCAGGCACTGTGGCTTATCTTTTGGCATCTTTCTGACCATTCTGAGCTTGAGATTGTGACTCGTTTCCACACGTCCATGTACAGTGGAGCTGTATGCAGCTTTCTAAGAAAAATGCCTTCTGTTTTCTCAGGGAAGAGATTTAACCAAGGCTTTCTTGATCAAACTCCTGACACCCATGTGAAAACCTTAGACCCCATACCTTACTCCCAGAGGACATGGTCCACCTTAGACCACCAAGTCACCCAGTTTATGCTGCCTATGGAGCAACAGTGACCCCCAGTGGTCAACCCCAACCTCTAGTCTGAACTGAATAATTGTGTAATATAAATGTAATAGTAACCAAAGACTCATCCTTTTGCTGCCTACAAAATAAATAAGTAGCCTTCTATCCCACCTAGCTTCATTTTAATAAGTGAATAAACTTTGCTTTATAGTTGGCGATATTTATCTCTGTTGATGTGTTTATTAGAGTTCTTTAAAGGCTCATAGAGGGTCAGGGACAAATTTTTGTCATTGTAATAAAAAAAACATGAAGAATATATTAATCCCATGGTTTGGGGTTAAGTTGTTTCTAATTAAATGATTCCTGCTAACAGAACCGAGTTCAAAGTTTCACTCTACCATTCGCCAGCTGTTTGGCTTCAGACATGTCATTTAACTTCCTGAGTCTCTGCAAAAATGTAGCCAATTTGTTGTGAAGATTAAAGGCACCACCTACAAAATTCCTGGAGCATAGCAGGCACTTTATAGATGATCCATCCTTGGAGGTAGAGGAGTTTAGGCTGAATACTCAATGATGGAGGGCTTTTTTAGATCTGTTCAAGCAAATCCATTTTATGTGATGAGGTCTGGGGGAAAAGCAATTTCACCTAACATGTTGCTCTTATTTCTCGTTCCAGTCTTTGAAGCCATCAAATCATGCGACCATTCAGAGTATAGTGAGAGCAGTGGGGGTCGTCTCTGGAATTCCTGAGCCTTGCTGTGTGCCAGAAAAGATGTCCTCACTCAGCATCTTATTCTTTGATGAAAACAAGAATGTAGTGCTTAAGGTGTACCCCAACATGACAGTGGACTCCTGTGCTTGTAGATAACCCAGCAGAGAACAAACTCAAATGCTCGACCCAATCATTAGTTGGGTTTTATGGACTATTTTTTCTTCCTTTCTTTCATTTTTATTTTTATTTTTTGCAGTGCCAATTCATTTTGCCCCAAAGGAACAAATAGAGTGAATATTTCCACCAAGCAAAACTGAACTATATTTTCTTCTAAATGTAACTGAAAGTAAGATTTTAGTATATGTGGACATGTATTTCTTTTTTTATCGCACAAGGAAAACTATTACTCAATCTGTTTCTAGGAGTGTTGGAGAACACGTTGACTTATTTTTGTATTGGGCTTTAAAGCTCAATGGGAAATAACAGCAATAACATCATTTGTCTCTACTTATCTAGTGACTAAAGGGACCTAGATAGGAATCTTGTGGTTTTATTAGATTTCTTGCCTTAGATTCTCAAGCAACCCAGCCTACTAAACATCCAGCTGGACTTGATGTGCATCGAAAACGTTCCCGAGACCTGTTTACCTTGATTTTTCTTCACAATTATGGTATGAGTTGAGTTAGTGTATGCTAAGTGCTAGTGTGTGTATACGTGTGCCAGGTACCTGTACCTTTGTTAATTTTTTTCTTAATGTGGTTCTATGGCTCTATATTCATGGGATTCTTTTTTTAATATCATATTCTGATGAGACCCATCCACTGATGATCCAACAGTATGTCAAGAGCAATGCTTCATCCAGCCATCTGATTGGATGCTCTTATTTCATTGAATTCCAGAAAAAGAGAATCAGGAATTCCATTTTTGAAAGCCCGGAGTGCTCTTGTACCTCATTTTCAAACATGTATTTTTATCTGCTCTAAGTGAATTTTGCAAGTACTTCCTGAAGTTATTAGCTCTCTAGTCCTCTTGCTATTATAATCTTCAAGTGATGTTGTCCATAAATTGACTAATTAGTATTTCATTTTTAATTAGTAGCTTCCATTGAGCTTTGACATTTTCTTAGCAATGGGAATGGAGGTCTGAACAGCTGCTAGCCATCATGGCAACATGCACTAAGTTGGGAGTACACTATGGTATACATGGAAAAAACTGCTAAAATATTTTAGTAGTGGGGGTTAAAGTAAATTGACACTTTAATTAATAAAGCCTCATTTAATGGAATATTTAAAAAGTGTCTATTTTGCAATGAGTTAGGTATAAGTTACCTTACAGTGCCCCATAAGATTTTAAGAACTCTCCTATACAATATTGGGATTGATGGGGAAAGCATTGCGATTTAAAATGCTATTTCCCAGATAAAACCTGCTTGTCCCATCTCTATTCTCTCTCCCTTCTCAACCTCATTCTTCCTCTCTTCCTTCTCAAAAACTGCCCCAGCCAGTCTTACACACATACACACAGAGAAAGAGAGCAGCAGAGACAGACAGAGAGAGAGAGAGAGATTAAAAAAAAGAAAGCAATTGTTTCTTTTAAACAAAATGTCTACAAAAATACGCAGGGTTATTCTTGTGTTGACCATTTATTCCTGGGCTCAGGGCCTACCTTGGAGAGTGGTTAATATACCCAGTGACACCCCATTGGAGAAAACTAATTTTCTCTTTTCAAGAGAGCATCATTTGCAGACAGTTTCTTAGTTAGGGGTAGAAACCTATTTCTACCACCCCCTCTTAGAGCTGGGATCCCATCTGGCTTGAATCTATGCATTCTTTTCTGATAACTGTTTTCTGGAATTCCAGTTAAGAGATTACCTATATCCATCCAGTATTTTAAGATTTCTTCTTTGTAACCTGTGTAAATATTATGTAATTCTCAGAATCTGATGCTATAGAAGGAGACTGGAAGATTGAATCTCTTAGACCTCAGGATTGCAGTGTTCCAGATTAGATTTTACACACACCTAGCTCTGTATGAACTCACGATCATTTATTCATTAATATAGTATTCTACTATTTCTGTATAAAAGTCTTATTACCCATTTAATATTTCATATACAGCTATGAGTAATACTATCATCAGTCTGACTTATACAATGTTTATGTAACTACGTTATTCAGTTAATCTCGAAGCTTTAAATTTTCTCTGTGCTACCAAGTAACAAATGTCTGGACATGTTGAATCAAGGTTGGGTTAGAGAATAGCTACGCATACCTGATATGTAAGATGAATAAGCAGCTAAGTAAGAAATATTGGGTAAGTCTGATTTCTCAGTATTTTAATGTATCTTACAAGGGATAAAATTATCCCCCTTTTCTAAAAATGAAGCTTTCTCTTCAACTCTTCACACTAATTTCTGTAAATGTTTTAGTTGAAAGTTTAATGCTTGTACAGTCAATAGCAATTTAAATATATATTATATGTATATGGAAAAAGTTTAAAGATGCTTTTAATTTATTTAATGACTGTTGCCTTTCTATATTAGTAATTATTTTCTTCCTTACAAGGTGAGAAAAACATCTTTAAAAAAATAAAACTATAGTTCCTAGATGGGACATGACATTTGGTTCTTGTCAAGTCCATTTCAAGGGTGTCGCAGTGTAACTGTGAAGGACACTTCACTACTGATGTATTAAGCTTTGCTGATCTTGTATCATCTTTCTCCAGTAACGAAGAACTTTTATTCTTTATTAAAAAATAAAAACAGCTTAATTGAACATGTCCCCATTCTATTCTCTTTCCTGGTGAGGGTGCTCTTTCAAAAACATTTCTCACTATGCTACATCTGAAAAGAGCAAAGAGGCTGAGACAAAAAGTTAAATCTTTCAAAACAATGCAAGTTTTCACAATGAACAGATCATCCCAAACTTCTGATCAACAAAATACCATCCACCTCTTAGATCATCACAGAAGCTCACGCAGAGGGTGTACCTCCAGCCTTTGCAAGTAGCAACCCTTTCCTTGACTCATTTAATGTTTTCTTCCCTCTATAAACCGCAAACTCTACATTTTGTGATGGAGAGATTTAGGTTTTAATTTTTTCCCCTATATGTCTGGCTTCCTAACTCAATGATAACTTCACTTCAGCAGCCAAGATTACCACATAGTGTCCATGTTAGAGTGTTAAGATCTAAATGTAATTATTTTTATCTTTGAGATGATGTTTGAATTGCAAATTTTTCTTCAAGGGGAAAAAAAGACCCAAGGTTGTGAAATAAAATACACTCTCCTGCTCTTCCCACCTGTTGCAGCCATCTGTAGCAGCCCCATGTTGTGGACCAATCTGTATTAACCTGTGTTCATGCCTGAGAGGGGAAGTGTGGATTGAGAAAGGGCAGGTAAAGACGCTAAGAAAAAGACAAAGACACAGGATAAAATCGGGAGGACAATCCAGTGAATACTGGACACCCAAAGTTTATTCTTCAACATTCTTAAGTACCCCAATCAAAAAGGGGACATGGCAAAATATGTCTTTATCATGTATAAGGAACAAGCAGACTTTCTTTCCTTAATCCTCCAAACATTTGGTCACCACACCTTAGACTCAATTTCCCCTTATTTGGTGTTGAGGGTCAAGACCATGTCTGTTGTTGTTTAGATAAGACATCCTCTACCAAGATCAAAACATCCTACAGTAGCCATACCTTAGACCTCTAGGTCTTACGACTTACTAAGGACAGTTTTGAACTCTTTGACCTTGAGCCATGTTTGTGGGCCCAGAGACCCACCCTTCAGTCTGAGCCTATTCAACTGTGGTGGAGTGAAAGCCAGGGCAGCTGAAACTAGAGGTATTGACTGATCATCCTGGGCATGTTCCTTGACCTTACACAGTCTCATTGATCTTACGTATAAATGAGTTACTGAAACTCCTGCCTCTTCACCAGCCATACTTATGGTGGAAGGTTATTACCAAGATTGTCCAAAGTACTTGAAAAATGAAACACCGAGGGAAAAAAACAATTAAGAAACAGAATAAAGAATTAAACAGAGAGTTCTCAAAGGATGAAATACAAATGGCTGAGCAATATTTTTTCAAAGTTTTATTGAAGTTACACTATCAGAGAAATGCAAATTAAAACTACCTTAACCAGAATAGAAATAACTTTTTAAAAAAGGACAAAAAATAGCAGTGTAAAGGTAGAGTAAGAGGAAACCCAATTCTCTGCTGGTGGTATTGCAAACTGGTGAAGTCACTATGAAAATCAGTGTGTAGGTTCCTCAGATGGCTAGAAATGGGTATACCACAGGATCTAACTGTAACTCTGTTGGGCATACACCCAAGGGACACTATATCCTTCTTGAATACTTGCTCATCCATGTTCATTGCTGCTCTGTTAACAGTATGCATAATGGAAACACTCTAGATGTCCATCAACTGATTAATAGATAATGAAAACACGATATACCCTCACAAGAAAATATTATTCATCTGTTAGGAAAATTAATTTTTAAGGCAAATGGATGGAGCTGGAAACAGTCTTCCTGAGTAAAGTAACTCAGATACACAAAGACAAATCGTGTTGTCTTTCATATGTGGATGCTAGCTTTGAATCTTTAGACAGGTGTCTTTTTATTTGAAAAACCCATAAATGTCAGCAAACTAGGAAGATAATATTAGAAAGGAAGATAGAATGCATGGATATAAAGGGAGAAAGTGGAACATTAGAACACAAAACATTAAATGGAATGGGAAATGAGAGGCCAGAGTAGAAGAGGGAGTATGCAGAAAGGAAACTAACTCTAAATATCCTTTTAAAAAATTCACATGAAAGTCTACTACTGTAGAAGCATACTAAATTATAAAATAGACAATAAAAAGAGTTTAAATAGAGTTACACAATAACAGGGGCATGATTCCCCCACCAGAAACCCTCGCTAGCAAGTAGAAAGCCTGGTGACAAAAATACATTACCTCTTTTGGTAACAAATGTTAGCCACTGGGGACTGATATGTGCCCCTAAATTACATTGCCACTGCTCTTGGTTGCCCTCCAGAACTTGATGGTAAGATTCTGTCACTGAGGACACCAAATACTTGAGTATTTGGAGCAATCAGGCTGGTACTAAGCGGGAAGGTTTGTCCCAAGTGAGTAGCTTTCATAGTGCTGGGAGGCACTATACATTCATCTAGGAGAAAACAAGTACTCATCAGTCTTATCCATCTCTGTACCCTGTGAAGTACAACAATAATGATTAGCCAGGCAAAATACATCACTTTCGCAATAGTGGCATGAATATTCTGGAAGTAACCAAACACTTTATGATTAGATTGGAGGCCTGACCCACAAGGGAGAATATTTACAGGGCACCATTATTGGGCCAAGAACCTGAGGCAAGATAGATTATGGGTTCTAGGGAAGAAGCTAATACTATTATTCTGCTAAATGAACATACTATGAACCCAACATCCTCGTAACTTATTGCTATACACATAAAACAGTGCCTCTCTCAAACCTCAGCAAAAAAGTCAGAGAAGTTTCATTTTGCAGCAGTTAGCGATTAACACAAGAGACCCATAGCTGTGCACAGAGTAAGATGATTTAGTGTGCTCGGCCCTAAATGGGACATCTGTATCTACCCTTTCTATCAGGGATCAGCACAGAAGATGGGGAAGAAAGATTATAAGAGAGAGCAGCAGTGGGTGACTACGGTGAAACTGTTTTCAGGACATAACACGGCAACTGTAATATAGCATGTTCAAGACCCATAAAACCTAGAGTCAGAACAAACCCCAGCATGAACTTGGGGCAGAGTAAGCATGAAGTTCCATCCCTAGCTGAGGAGCTATTGGCAACTGATAGCTTCTGGAAGAGACAGTTAAGTGTGGCTCCTGTTTGGTTGATCATGCATCGGTGACTGAAGTGAGTAGGTAAGAAGGTGTGGGTCAATCTGTGAGGAGATGATGGGAGATAGAAAGTGACTGTGATCAAATATATTGTATTAAATTCTCAAAGAATTAAGTAAAATGTTATTTTAAATTCCCACCTCATGTTTTTAATGAGATTTAATGTGATAATGTGTATAAATGACTTAATCAGCTATCTAAGACAGAATAAAGAATTGGTTAACATCAGTTTTCATTATTATTTATCTTATCCAAATCCTTCTTGCATGAGCTTTTGAACATTTGGTTTGACTTACATTGCTTCTACTGTGGTTTTTGCTGCATCTATGGACTCAAGCCCTGGCAATACTGTGTTCTGGCCTTGCGCATCTTGCTGGGCTCCTTCAGCTCCAAATCCTCACTTGGATGACATTCAAATTCCTTTCTTGTTCTGGTATACCTGATTCTCACTCAAACTTCTAATTTATGCCACAACTAAGAAGCATTTTCTTCCTAACCATGTTTTAGAGGAAAAACAACAGTAACACAAGCCATGATGAAGAGAAAAAATGAATGAGGATAGGGAGAATGGATGACCCTCCCCTCACCTGAGGTCAGGGTCATTTTCATTGCTACTGTATGGTGAGGTCTGTGAGACTCTCTACCTTGTATGTCTATGCTTAACTTTAATCTTTCATCCTGTCATCTTAATAGTAAAATCTAGTTTTTCAAAACATAAATTTCACATATTATTAATTAGAAAGAGAATATATTATGGTAGTTGGGCTCTCAGGCATGGATCCAAATAATTTGTTCTGGAATTCCAATTATGTCACTTAATAGATGCGTGACCTTGAAAAATCATTAACCCTGTCTCCTTCCCCTTCCTATTGTGTAAAATGAGAACAAAACACATTATCTACTCAACAGTGTTGTAAGGATTACCTGAGTCACTACACATGGAGCACATTAGTTCAGCACAAAGTAAATGTGTACAACTAGCTTTTTGATCCATCAACTGTGTTTATATTTTTGAAGTTGTGTCTTCATTCAGTCTGGAGGAATGAACACATGTGAACACATGAACATACACAGTTTTTAAATGAGTTAAGTCTTTGTGATTTCATTAAGCTATCTTATTGTTACAAATGAAAGAAGTTAATGGCACATTATCCACATGCTGGCAATTGTGACAGTCATGTAGACTGAGGATGGGAAGGCACTGGAACCCATATGCTGCTGTCACAGTTGTGTGGAGGAAAGTGTAGAACTGTTGCAGTCTTTTGTGTGGATGCAGAGGCAGATGGCATCCCTGGGTAGGGCTTACTAAGTGTGTCTGCATCAAGGCACGAGGCAGCCCTCCAAGCTGTGTCCTACACTTTGGTCTGAAGCTCAGCTTCTAAGATACTGAGGCCATGTGCACAGGCAGGATGCAGGCCTCAGGCTGGGTCGAGAGCTCCTTGTGGTTTCTGTTTCCCCTAATGTCACCATCAGCTCTCATTTCCTTCAGCAGAATGTAAGAGCTTTCTTTAAGTCTATTCCACTCCAGTAGAATCTAGCTGGAGATCTAAAACGGATATGGAGAATACATCCTCACATGAGACATTTTTGTCATGTGGCAGAAAGGTGTTTCTTTTGAACAACATAACATACACATTGGAAGATTATTTTCTGCTAGAGAACAAAGGAAGATAATTTAAACATAAGTGTATGCATTGATTTAAATCTAAATTAATATTTCAATATAAAATCTTAGAGGAATTTTGTCTTTGTTATTCTTTCTCTTATAAATTTATGGAATGAGTTAGAGATAAGACTCCACTGGTCACGAATACAATTAAATGCTCTGTTGTAGGAGTGGATGGTGGAATAAACCACTCATTTCATGAGCAGG